TGGAGCCGTGCATTCGCCCGGAAAATTGACTTCCCACAGGTCGACGAGGTTGAGGAAACGCCTCATAAAGCATTAAGAGGAAAGTATCGGAAAGAGGGCGTCGCATCCACCTACGAAATCAACAGTTAGATGAAAGAGAACTTCCTGATCACTTCCAGCATGCCTTTTTTCATCTCTCCCCCATTCCTTACTTAACGCCTTAAAACCTAACCGCAAAGCTAAACAGTCGGATCATTACACGTATTTGGCCAACGAAGAGAGTGGATTGCACTGGGTAAGCAGGTCTTTTCTCTGAAACGGATTTTAGATACTAAAAACAAGAGCAGAGGCTTTGAGAAGACCCCTCTCTGAAGTTGAATTGCCAGAGCAAATAGGATGCACAAATGTAATAAAAATGTTATCAAACTACCTTTCTTCGCCATCCACTCATCTCTCTCCTTCATTCAACGTCCTCCCTCAGCCATGTATCCCACTCCTCATCCCCTCCTACCTCCCCAACATTTCACTCTTGCGCTGGCTCTTGCTCTCCATTTCTCTGCTGCTCTACTCTAATTGTCCCTAAAGAAAGACTGCAAATTATTCAGTGGTAGGTGAATCGTGGTCTTTGTTCTGGCATCATTAAGAATTACAAATGATCGCTTTCCTTGTCCTTATTTTGTGCAAACAATAATAAGGAGGAAAATGGTAACAGTCCTACTTTCGATTTACCAAAGGCCACTTCTCCTGTCTTCCTGTCATTAAAAAGGATATTTGAATGGAAATCCCTCAGATTTAGGGTTTCGATTTAGTCTCAGATGTGAGTCATTTCTCGCACTGGGAACCAAATTACCCCACCACATTACCTCACCTAGCGCCTTACAAGGTACAAAAATGAGGTGACACGAATTCTAATACGCATGCATTGTGTGCTTCCACTTTATCTATCTGAAGCGCTTCCTTTGTGCATGTCAGTGTGAAGAGGCAGGTTATGGGTTCTAAAACCATGAAATATGCAGTGATTCCGTCCAACGACTATAGCCAGGACATGATATTTCACATCGAATGTGGACTACGTGAAGAGTGCTTCAAGACTGATAGTGTCCTGCCGAAGACTTGGCTAGCGCAAAA